TTCTTCTTCAGCAACAACCACCGGGCGCCGGCGGTGCCAAGGGTCTCGGGCCTCTGGCGGAGGCGGCCCGCGACGGGGCGGCTGCGGCGGGGGCGGCCCGAGCCCAGTACAGCCTCCCGGGGATCCTGCACTTCCTGCAGCACGAGTGGGCCCGCTTCGAGGTGGAGAGAGCCCAGTGGGAGGTGGAGCGGGCGGAGCTGCAGGTAAAGACCCTCCCGGCCTGGCCCTCTTCATCCCGCCTCTTCGCTCCCTCTCGCCCCGCCCCGGACCCTTCCCCCTCCCTCTCCGGCCCTCTCCGGTCCCCTCCCCTCGGCTCCCACCCTCCCACCCGGCACCGTCCCCTTCCCCCCTTCACCTTTGCCTCTGGCTGACCCCACTTCCTCGACCCGGGTTCCCACTCCCGCCTTGATGCGTTGTTTACCCTCCCGCTCCTCTGCGTTTGCTCCTTCCTTCTCTGAACTCTGTCTCCTTTCCACGCTCCGGCCGTCGCTCGTTGCAGGGCTTCCCTTTCGTGCACTAATGGGGCCAGCAGTAGTTTGGAAGACGTCGGGCAAATCATCCTCTGTCCTAGGTCTAGAGACGTCCCCGCGGTAGGGATGGGCGATAGGCTCCTCCGAGAGGAAGGTGAGCGGAGGAGACGACAGAAGTTGAACCTGTGCGGCCTGGGCTGTCGGCGAGAAGCTGGTGTTGGGGGAGAAAGTGTTACTAGGCATAGGCAGCCCGCTCCTTACATATGTAAATGTGTCTTCTCTTCCTCCCACTCCCTCACCCCCTCCCGCGTTGCTTTTAGGTATTTCAGATTCACGGATTGTGAAGGCAGGACCCACTAGTAGAGAGGATCGCAGTCAGATGGTAGTTGAGAGATGGTTTCCTGTTCCCAGAATCTAAAACTTCCCCGAGGATTAATGTTGTGTTCAGTGTTTTGTGGGATCGACTTTGACTCTCAAAGGGACTGAGAGGGGCTTTAAAGTTGGTTACATTTCCGGCATCATCTGCAAAATAGAGTCTATCCAGGGGGGAGCAGTTGTGGCCTCTTAGGAGAATGAAAGTGAGGCTGAGACTTTGCAGGCCATTCTGAGCCGGTTAAGTGGCTCTTCTTGAAAACTTCCAAGCCAGACACCAATTTCACAAGGAACTTAAAGAGCTGTGCTTTCCTGGCTGATCCTGCATGTTTATGAAATTGGAGTGTAGTTTTGGTTGGTTTGAGACACTTGAAGTTAAAATGCTACCCAGTGTGTCACTCTTTTTTTGGTAACATGTATTTTCTTTGATCCTGAAAGAAAAGAAGAGAAAAGGAGAAGTCTGTTTAACAGTGTCTGTGCTGGGACAGCCTGCTTTGGTGTGGTGCAAGTGGAATGAGAAGAGCAAGCAGACGGTTACAGTAGGGGCAGGGCTTGCTGCTGGTTCTGTGACCTTTAGGGAATCCTTTAACCTCTCTGAACTTCAGTTTCATCACTTATATTTATTGGGCACCTTTATCGAGTGCCAGCGGTGTGCCTCTAGGTCCTGGGATTGACAAAACTGACGCAGGCTCTACCCTCATAGAGCCTACGTTTTAGGTGGGAGGCAGTGAGTCAATGCATCTCTATAATGTACTGACCCATAGAGGCAACTGCTCTGAGAAGAGTAAGTCAGGGCACAGGAATAGAATGTGATAGGGGCAGCTATTTTAGATGGAGTGGTTAGGGAAGGCCTCGGAGGAGTTGAATGAAGTGAGGAAGTGACCCGTCGTTTCTCAGATTCCTTCTGAGTCTCTATGTTTATATTCTTTGGTGGCTTTTTCATTCTGACTGTTATGTTGCTTTAGTATCTGGTCTTTTGATATTTTTAATTTTTCTTATAATGCGTCTGACCATGTCTGTATAGTAAACAGCAGACTTAGATGCTCCACTCAAATTTACTGGTAATTCACCCTGATTAACAGTGAATTCCATAAATGAGCTTGTGGATTTCAGACTTCAAGGAAGTGTTAAAGGCAGGCTTTAACTTTCATGTTGTACTGTTATGGAGGATGATTTTTATATGTAACCACTTAAATTTTAATATCTTTTCTAGTTTAGGGAATGTAAGATAAGTCACACTAATTGGGTAAAAAACAAGAAAATTCTTACTACTTGCGGAACTTTGGGAATTTTCAACCCACTTCACTCCCTGTGTCTCCCCTCACCTCACTGTGTTTAAACTTTTTAATTTTACCTGTAACTGTAGCCACTCTTCAGTTTTGTATGCACACACAACTTCCTGGGTAATTAATGGGAAATGTTAAACTTAAGGTAGGTTTCCCATTGGTGCTCATTATATTAAGGGCACTGCATTTTTACAGTACCTTTTGGTTTGTTCTCAAATTAAATTAAACATCCACAGAGAAACTTAAAAAAAGTCATATTTTCCAAACAGAGCAAGTATTATGTATTTTGGGGGGATAGAGTTTGCAGGAACCTGTGGTCTTTGGCCCCTTTATTAGCATTATTGAAAATCATTTATTTTTATTATTAACAGTATTACAGATGTTCCCCATCCCCTCAATTTGCCAAATGATTTCCCCATCCCCCCCCCCCATTTGCCAAATCATTAAATTTGAGCATATCCCTTTATTTTTCTATTGCCATTGGAATTTTCCTAGAAAAACAATAGGAAGTAAGAACTGAGTGATGATGAAATTTGGATTACTTGATGTCTTCCTTTTAATTTTTAAATCTTTTCTCAAGTCCTTAACACCAAAGTCAACAAAAATACCTTTAAGATGAACTCTAATGTGTCTCTTCAGGAACCTGTTAGTCCTGCTCTTTCAAATTGCCAGGGCAGAATTGTGAAAGGCAATCCAAGCTCCCACCTATCTACCTGGCCTGCCGTCATCACTTCCTCCCTCCTTCAGATCTTGAGAGTAAGGGACTAACCACATTGTACCAAAAACGTATTGTCATTTTGTTCCCCCTTGCCCATTTTAGTTAATAGATGATTCTCTTTTACTTTTGGTAATCCCCCTCACCACACCATGTAGATGAGAATAGGTAATTCATGGGAAAAGAATGGTCAAAATTATTACTGAGCTTTAATATTTGTGAAAGGAATTGAAAATGGGATACCTAACATTTGAAACAATTTTCTGGGTGAGACAGATTGAACCAGATTGATTACCTCAAAGAAACTTGCAGTCTGGTTGGAGTGATAGAACAATCAGAATGCAGAAAAATTAGTGTTTATCACTTGAGGGATTTAAATTTTCTCAGTATAGCACAGAAGAGCTTAGCAGTGAGTGGAGTGAATAGCAGGAAAAAAGAACTTTATGAGGTAATGAGAACCTAAGGCTCAGTTTCGAAAATTACTGATTTATGGGAAAACAAACATGTAAATAAAAAAATTAAAAGTTATTGCCTTAGTTGTGTGTGTGTAGTTGGGGAGGCTGTGCTGTTTACTTGGAAATGCTAGAACTGAGAAAAAGGTCAAGCTATCGTTAGTTATATGGTTGCTGGTACTAGAGTGTTTATGAATTTAAATTTTGGCATTGATGATTCATATTTTCATTCAATAGATGTTTTTCAAGTGCCTACTTCCTGCCAGGTCCTGTTCTAGGCACTGAGAAACAACAATGATGAAAACAGATCCTACCCACATGAAACTTAAATTGTGCGGGAAGACAGACTGTATTAAATAAATGCATCCTGAAAACATTAGATGGTAATAAGAGCTGTGATAAAGTGTGTAAGTGGGATATGGAGTGCTTGGGAGGATGGAATGGGGAAGAAAGGCTTTACTGATAAGGTGCCTTTTGAACGGAGACCTGAAAAGGTGAATTCTAAGGAGAGTATTCCAGACAGAGGGAACAGAAGAGGGAAGGAACATGCTTGGAATGTTTGAGGAATAATGAGGCAAGTGTGGGTGGAGTACAGGAGGAGACTAGAAGAAATGATGTCAGAAGTATTGAGTCTTGCCCATGGTAAGACTTTAGATTTTACCTCAACAAGGTGGGGAACTATTGAAATGTTTTGAACAAAAGAGTGACAGCATCTTTAAACAGAACCCTTTGCCAAGGATTCAGAATAGACTTGGAGGGGCGATGAGGATAGAAGAACCAGAGTCTAGTTAGGAGGCCCTTTGAATAATCGGGGCTAGAGATGAACTAAAGTGGCAGTAATGAGATCTGGGATTATATAATTTGAAACATGTTCAAAATATAATGGATTTTGAATACATTTTTGAAGGTAGAATCAGCAAGATGTGATAGAGGACAGGATGTGAGATTTGAGACAAAGGGGAGTGGAAGATGGGGAGAAAGGCAGAGAAAAGTATTGATGTGAGAGAAACACATTGATTGGTTGCCTCCTGCACACTCCCGACCAGGGCCTGGGTTGGGCAGGAGCCTACAACAGACATATTGCCCTTGATCTGAATGGAACCCGGGACCCTTTGGTCCACAGGCCAACACTCTATCCAGTGAGCCAAACCAGCTAGGACTACCTTGTGAGAATTAAATGAGATATTTTAAGATATCTAGCAGAGGCCTGGTACATAACACAAAGTAAGTGCCGAATAAATAAGTAGTATCAAGTGCATGATGTTAAAGTTGTATATCTCCTTGTTCCCACAGAAAAGCACAATCTTCAGTTATGAACTCTTCTAAGGCGAGAGCGTGTAAGTGCCATTCTGGAACCATGCAGTTTCATATTCTGGGTCTGATAGTGGCACTAAGGGACATTCAAATAGGAATCAGCCTCAAAATTTTGATAATAGGACTCCTTTCCCAGGCCAGGTCTGCTGGCTCATCCTCTTAAACCCCTCCACCCGCAAACATTGATAATATACTTCACATGTTCTTGATTTACTTAATAACTCACTCTGTGTCTTCTATTTTGAATTTTCTGTAAACATTTCAGAATGTGTCTATCTTAACCACGCATGACTTCTTAGGTAACAAATTGTGTATATTTACTAACCACTTTATAAAAGTAATTTTTTGTTTTATTTGGACCTTTAAACTTGGAACTGGTGAGCCCCATTGTGGTATGGTGAAATTTTGTAAACAGGTTTATTTTTTGATTCTAGTCATCCTTGATAATTTTTAATTATATTTTAGAAATAATAATTATATTTTAGAAAGGTTATAGAGGTTTCACTCTTAAAAACATATCCTAATATATGTTACTTTAGTTTAGTGTTTCTCAACTTTAGCTGTAATCTTAGAATAATTTGGGTAAACTTTTAAATATATTAATTCCCTGAGCTCTGCAGCAGGCTACTTAAATCAGAAATGTAGCAGTTAGGGCCCCTGGCATTAGTATTAGATGAGACGTATACACCTCCCTCAGACTGAGAGATAAAAAAGATATTAATCTTTGAGCTGGAATGAACTTTGGAATTAATCAGCTACATCCTTTTTTACAAGTAAAGTGAGGCCCAGAGAGAGATTAAATGACCAAGAATGAAAACAGATTTTGTCAAAGCTCTGTCACTTAAATCTCCATATACCTTTGCAGTTTTTAAAAAAACTTTTCAAGTACATTATCTTGCTCTATTCTTATAACCTGCTGAGATAACCAGTCACTAATGCTTATCTAATCACTTTTATTGATTGACTAGAGGCCTGTTGCACGAAAAGATTCGTGCAATAGGCCTTCCCTCCCCCTGGCTGCCGGCACCGGTTTTCCCCCGGGACCCAGGCCTTTGCTCCGGCTGGAGCCGCCTTCAGTCTTCGCTCTGCCGCTTCGTGCCTATGTATGCAAATTAACCACCATCTTTGTTGGCGGTTAATTTGCATATCTCGCTGATTAGCCAATGGGAGGCGTAGCGAAGGTATGGTCAATTACCATGTTTGTCTATTATTTATTGATTGATTGACTTCAGAGAGAGGAAATGAGGGGAGAGAACAAGGGAGAGGGAGGGGGAGAGGGAGGGAGGGAGAGAGAGAGAGAGAGAGAGAGAAAAGCATAAGTCAATGTGAGAGAGAAACAATGATCAGCTGCCTCCTGCCTGTGCCCAGACCTGGCATTGAACCTGCAACCTGGGTATGTGCCCTGACCTGACCAAGAATCTAACCCACCACCTTTTGGTGTAATGGACAATGTTCCAACCAACTGAGCCACACTGGCAGGGCTCACTTTTCTTTTTATTTAAAGCAGTAGGCATGGGGATTTTACAGTGTTCTACTGTTTTCCAGCTTATTTTATTAGCTACATTTAAGATTTTCTTTTGACTTTGGTGCTCCTGTAGTTTCTATGATGTGTAAGAGTTTAGATTTCTTTCTTTTCTTTTTTTTTTAATTTGGGACTTTGTTAGGCTCCTTGAATCTGTGGATTAGCATCTCATTAGTTCTGTAAAATAATCACTCATTATCTCTTTGAATTTCTCTTCTATCTTGTTCGCTTTTCTTTTCCTTTGGATCTCTGATTGTATGCACCTTAGGCCTTCCTTATCTGTGCTGTATTTTGCATTTTTAAAAATTTCTACATTCTTTATTCTGGGTAATTCTGATTTATTTTCTAGTCCATTAATTTTCTCTTCAGTTGGATCTAATCTTTTAAAGCTATCCTGTGATTTTGATTATTGTTGAAGTTCAGTTTGGTTCCTTTTAAAATCTGCTCTATCTTTTCTTAATAGTTTCCTATTCCCTGTAAATATTTTCAGAGTTGTCTTTTATTTTTTAAACCTAGTAAGTATAGTTATTTTATAGTTGATGCCTCTGTTCTTATATGTGAGGTCTTGGAGGTCCCTTTCTGTGGTCTATTGTTTTTTTCTGATTCTTTCTTTGATGACTTTTTTTTGGGGGGGCGGTCTGCATAGTTATTATGTGCTGCTCACTATCCTTGAAAAAGTGTAGGCTTAATTTGAGGTCTCAAAGAAAGATAGCTTCTTCAGCTAGCTTACTTCAGAAAGTTTTTGCATTTGCTTCTGGTAGGTATCTGGACTGAAGCACTACACTTGGAGTGCGGGTGAATTTCCCGCCAAAATATAAGATGGCTCTGTCTTTTGGTTTTGTTCCATCCACCAAAAGGGTGGATTACAAACAAATATTTGGTAATACGCAGTTACAATCGGCCCGAGTTTACACGTTTCCCGCACTCCACCGCAAATCTATATGAACCGAGTTAAAGACGGCTCCCGCGGAGTACGCGCAATTCACGCGAGCCGACTTAACTCGTTTCCCACACTCCAAGTGTTAAAGCAAATTTATTGCTTGAAGTTTTGGACCACCCAGGTGATGAATATTTTGGTTGTGAATACATATGAGGGCCAATTGTCTGTTTCCCCTTTGCTTTGAGGGTATAAGCCCTCTAGGGTCTTAGAAAAATGTTGGGTATATCTCCTATTATGGTCCTGGTCTTTGATTTTTGCCTTTTGGGTACTACAAAGC